ATTGTTAAAAGGGCTTTCCAGTTTGCAAAATGCTTTTAAATGTATTCTAATAGTTCTTGCATGGCACAGAGCACCAGAGATAATAGCTAATAAGTACTGTGTTCAGTGCTTACTCAGCCTGCACCATTCTAGCCGTTTTAAAATTTAATTCCTAAAATAACCCCATTGGTGGGTCCTGTTTTATAAATGTGTATGTTACAGATGAGCAAGGATCATTCCATGTTACAGATCAGAAACAGGTTTAAAGAGTTGAAGTAATTTGCCAAAGGCCATAGAGCTGATTAAGCTGTGGTTTGATTTCAAGTAGTCCAGAAGCTTGTGCTTTTAACACTATGTTATCCTGCAGGAAAAAAATAAGTAAATACAAAAAGGAAAGAAAAAGAAAAACCCTTAGATACATGAAGCAAGTTCTCCTAAGGCTACAGCATGGTTTTTGGTTTTGGTTTTTTTTTTTTTGTAATGTTAACAAGTCTTATACCATATCCTAATGATACAATGAAAGTTTTTTTTTTGTTTGTTTTTGGAAAGTCACACTTTAATAAGTGCAAAATTAAGTGTGTCAGTACCCAAAAGGTATAGGTCATTAGGCTTAACATTGTCAACCAACAAACCAATATTCTAAATGCATGAACAAACTGCTTTTTTGTATAAATATGGTAGTGCAAGGTAATTCCTTATAATAATTTGTTAGTGTTTGCCAAGAAGCAGATGCTAAGATGGGATTAGATGTGTGAGAGACTTATTGGGGGAGGGAGTTGGAGCAGACAGGAACATCCTGCAGACTGATGTAGGACTGACATCCGTGAACGAAAGATGGAAGAAAGGAGCATGGAGTAGGGAGAATCTCACTGCATTCTTAGAGTATCCACTCTGTGCCCTTATGAAACTCAGAGCCTATACTGTGAAGTGTCAGGGAGATATCGTTCTCTTAAAATATGGTAAATGCAGTGATAGACCCGTACAGAGATATTACAGGAACTCTGAGCTCTAATCTGGGCTGAAAGGGGTGGGGTGTGTGTGTGTGTGTGTGTGTGTGTGTGTGTGTGTGTGTGTGATGAGGCAGGAGGGTGTTCCAGAAACGTCTTACTGGGGAAGGTCACAGCCAAGGTAAATATCAGACAATGAGTAGGGCTTAGAAGAGAGGCATCAAAAGGCTCAGTGCTGAGCTGCAGGCCTCTAACCCTCTTCTGATAAGTGGCAGGCTCTGTGAGATTTCTTCTATTATTATATAGTATTATTTAATCATCATTACTTTTCGTGCTTTTATTTCTTGCCCCCAACTCCACTGCAAGGTGTTCGAGGCAGGCATCATGTCCTATTCCTTGTTTTTCCCACAGTGTAGGACATAGTGTCTATCCATGTGCAGGCCAAGAGGGTGAGATTTGGAAATATTACTACCATCAACTCTCCTTTATTTAAAACAAATGTATGTCAGGTTTTGCATCAACTTTTGTTTGCTACAATTCAAATTTGAAATCCACCAGTGCAGGGGAAAGTGTTTGGGAGATACGGTGCAATGAAATTCGTCAGAACAGTCATTTGTTCTATCCTTGGAGCTGGAGGTGATGCCCCCATCACAGGCTCCTGAACTGACTGAGGGTGAGGGGTGGGACCCAGAAAGTTTCCCCTTATCTTCTGGTAAGGATATACTTACCAGAAAAGAGAAAACGGATTTTCAACAGCTGAAACACTGCTAAATTAGGGAACACTTATGAAGGAAGGAGACCTAATTTGGATCTTGAAGTGTTGTTACCTATTGTGGTCCAGTAAAAGGTCTGTCCACAGGTGAGCAAGAGTCTGTTCCATTCACTGTGAAGAACACATAACCAGGTATGAGAGTCACTTCTGGAAATTCTGGCTTGTATGGGTGTGTCAATGGGGCTGATGGAAAAGGTAGGGTTTATTTTTTCATCAGAGTTCAGAGGTCTTCAGAGAAGGGAACAGGCCATGAATAGAAGTTGAACTGATTGCTGGCCCTGGGACAAAAACCCTTGACCTTTAGGGTTTATCTTCTAAGTGTGAGTGCTAACTAGGAGAGGGACATCTCTTGAGAAGGGAAAAGTCCTGTGCATAAGCTTGGTTTTAGAGGACCTTTGGGAACCCAGGAGGGGGCAGCATAGTGAGGCCATGCTCAGCTATCTTTTGGCTTAGCCCTTTAGTGAATGCCTACTGGGTTCTTAAGGAGAAAGAGCTAGAAGGAAAAAAAAAAATGCGTTATATTTGGTGTTCTTAACCTAAGATCTGTGACTCCAGATTTTTAAGTAACAGCTTTATTGAGATATAGTTCACTATGATACAATTCATCTATTTTAAGTGTATAATAGTTCAGTAGTTTTTAGTATATTCACAGAATTGTGCAACCTGTGTCACAACTTTAGAACATTTTCATCACTCCCTCCAAGGAAACCCTAGCCATTAGTAGTCACTCATTTTTCTATTTCCCCTCCCCACCCCCAGCTGTAAGCAGCCACTAATCTATTTCTTTCCTTCTTTTCACTTTTTTTTTTTTGGTTGCCCAGGCTGGAGTGCAATGGTGCCATCTTGGCTCACTGCAACCTCTGGCTCCCAGGTTCAAGCGATTCTCCTGCCTCAGCCTCCCGAGTAGCTGGGATTACAGGCATGTGCCACCATGCCCAGCTAATTTTGTATTTTTAGTAGAGGTGGGGTTTCTTCATGTTGGTCAGGCTGGTCTCAAACTCCCAACCTCAGGTAATCTGCCCACCTCAGCCTCCCAAAGTGTTGGGATTACAGGCGTTGAGCCACTGCGCCTGGCTGCCACTAATCTGTTTCTATAGATTTGCCTGTCCTGGACATTTCGTACAAATGGAATTATATGGGGTGTGTGTGTGTGTGTGTGTGTGTGTGTGTGTGTGTGTGTGTGTGTGTGTTTTGAGACAGGCTCTCGCTCTGTTTCCTAGGCTAGAGTGCAGTGGCATGACCACAGCTCACTGTACCTTTGACCTCCCAAGCTCAAGCGATCCTCCCACCTCAACTAAGTAGCTGGGACTACAGGTGTTTGCTGCACCTGGCTAATTTTTTGTTTATTTTTTGTAGATACAAGGTCTCACTATGTTACCCAGGCTGGTCTCAGACCCCTGAGCCCAAGCGATTGCCTGCCTTGACCTCCCAAAGTGTGGGATTACAGGTATGAGCCACCTCACCCAGCCGTGCTATGTGGTCTTTTGTGTCTGGCTTCTTTCATTTAGCATACATAACATTTTCAAGATTCATTCATATTGTGGAATGAGTCAGGATTTCATTCCTTTTTATGTCCATTGTATGGCTATACCACATTTTATTTATCTTTTCTATTAAAAAACTATACTACATTTTATTTACCCATCAGTTGATGGACATTTGAATTGTTTCTACTCTTTGGCTGTTATGAATAATGCTGCTATTGTGACTACAGATTTTAAGCCTCCTGGAATTTTGTGGTGTTCTTTATTTCTGTGGAGTTAGTTTATAGCATCTGGCCTCTGTTCAGTTCCTCAGAAGCCCCAAGTCCTTACCAAGATCAGGGCTTTGACATGTGACAAGGATGCTTTTCATCTGACTGACTTCTACTCAGATGCAACCTTCCTAAGAGGGACCTCACTCAGATCTTCCCAATGTAGGTGACAACCTCTCTTCATAACACCCAGTGCTTTCCCTTCTGATCACGACTTCTTGGTGCGGATGTGGTCTGTCTGTTCTGTTTCATGTGACACATACAGTGCCTATACTGCATAAATGGTTGAAATAGTATGGTATACAGAATGGATGTTGATAACTGCGAGCTATGTGCTGGCTCTGTGGCCTGAACATAGACTTTATCACTGATGGGAGCCGGGTGCCTCCCTGTTGACTAGGGTTAAGGCAACAGTGGGAACCCTCTTGGCCAAGAGGTCTGGTGTCACGCAGATAGTAAGGACTGGACAAAGTGGACCGTAATGCCTCTTTGTGACCAAGCAGGATGGATTCCTGGCGTATATTTGGGGAACATTGTCTTGTTTTGTGTCTTGCTGAGTTTGTGGCTTCCTTGTCCTGAATCATCTCTAGGCCAATGTGGCCAGTGGGTTACATACACTCTTTTGTCACCACCTAAAAATGGAGAAAACTTTTGAAAATATGGGCCTAGTTTGGCCATTAGCAAGGAGAACACTGAGGGTGCTATGAGTTGTAAACAGAAGAGAAAGTTACGAATATTAATTTTGCCTACAGGGCTTCTTTGACAATATTCAAATAATTACAGAGGCAAAACTTCCTTTTGAAGGATGTGCAACCTGTTTTAGCTATTGCCTACAAGGACATTAGACCTTTGGGAAGCACAAAAGTGAGTTACATTCTGCTTGTGACAGTATTGTAAAAGGTTCCCTGGAGATCTTAAAGAGTAATGAGCATGTTTTCTAAAAACATTCCAAAGCTCAGCAGCTACTTATATTATGAATAAGGTAAAAACCCACCACTAGGTGACAGTCTATCAGCAGAAATTGCTCCTTTATGACTCTTCATCTAGACTGAAAATTTCTGGGGACGTCAGGGAATAACAAAAGTATTCGATAATAGTTTTCTGCTCCTATTCTGTGTCCTCCTCCTATGCAGTTTACACCCTCAATTTTAAATGTTCTCCTTCAATGTCTGCCTCTCTCTCATTTATATTAAAATAATGAAAATATGTTGTATAGAAACATAGAAATGAGACATGGAAAATTAACACTCCTGCCTCCTGTCCCATACTGGTTTTGTTTTTGTGTTTGTTTTTGACATGGTCTCGCTGTGTCGCCAGGCTGGAGTGCAGTGGCGTGATCTCGGCTCACTGCAACCTCCGCCTCCTGGATTCAAGCTATTCCTCTGCCTCAGCCTCCCAAGTAACTGGGACTACAGGAGTGCACCACCGCCATGCCCGGCTAATTTTTTTTTTTTTTTGTATTTTAGTAGAGATGGGATTTCACCATGTTAGTCAAGATGGTCTCGATCTCCTGACCTCGTGATCCATCCACCTCAGCCTCCCAAGGTGCTGGGATTATAGGCGTGAGCCACTGCGCCCGCCTGGTTCTTTGGGTTTTTAAAATAAACATACCTGTAAGAAGAGTACATCTAGTGCTCTTGGCTTTCCAATATGTAGAATACACTTTAAAATCTGGTTCAAGTTTAGTTTATAAGTATTTTCTCTCTCATGAATAAAACTCTATGTTTCCTTCGGCATTTGAGGTAAAAATGGGACAATTAGGAGAAACAAATTTTAGGTGTTTAGTCTCTTTTGAATGAAGGAAAAACTCCCTAGAAAAAGTTCAGAGTGTGAAATTTGAAATGTAACTTGGTGCCACCCGAGGCTGGTTTGATTCTCGGTAACTGCTGTATTTAGGTACTAAGAGTCAGGGCTCTAGGAAGCTTAGATCCCTCCTGGGCAAATGTGACTGATCTCGTCCCTCCTTTTTCCTTCTGCCTAAGCCTGCAGGGTGCTGTTAGCCTGGACTAGCACACTTAGATTCCATCTTTCAGAGTGGTTTCCGCAGTCGCCTGGGTCACTGGCGCCTAATGAAAAGCTCCCAGAGGTTATTCCAAAGTCTCTTGTGTTACTCCTGTGCTCCATTTCTCAGTTTTAGGTATTCTGTTATCTCTGTAACCTAAATTCTGTTATTTCTGAAAGAAAAATATACAATGTATATTCATGCATTTAAAGATGGACCAAGTAGGCACAAAAAAAGGCAAAATGTGGAATGCTATTTACTCAGTTCTTCCATTTGTATGAAAATGGAAACAGAGGTGTATGTAGGGATATACTTGTATATGTGCACATATTTCTACAAGGATAGCAGTGATGTTCAAAATATTTAACAACTGGTTCAGCACTGACACAGAAGTAGGTGCTGGTTTTAGAGCTCAAGGGATTCTGGAGGTCCCCTAACATCTATGTAATAATGGATCTAGACTCTGGGGGGCAGCACTCCAAGGCCATGCCAGGCAGCCACCAACTGCTTCTCTGGGGAAGGGGGCTGAGGGCAGGAGGGACTTATTTTTCAATATGCCCTTTAGTGCTGTTTGAAAGGTTATTTTTTGTTTGAATCCTATTTATGTGCACGTAGGTAGATTTTCATTTTGTTTAGCTTAGGAGATAAGTCTTACTTTTAGAATTTGTTTGTGGACATTTCTGTCTAGTTATTTGCCTCCAACCTGTCTCTAGCCTCAAGGCCATTTCCTTTAGTTCCATTTTGCTGAATCCTCCACGGAGAGCTCTCCTTAAGCTTCTTAAGCCCCTCTGTTTGAGGGGAAGGGAAGACCTGGCTGAACTCCCTCTCATAATCTCTCAGTTCTCCCCAACCCCAACACTGGTGTCTGAGTCTCCTTTCATTGCTTATCTTGAGCCTCTTGTCTCTCCACCTACCAGACCTCAATTCCAATTCCATTATTAACCAGTATAGGCATCACGGCATCACACTGCCTAATCTTATGATCAGAAAATAAGTGCTTTTTTTTTTTTTTTTGCGTTCCCACAACTTTTGTGCATATGGAGAATGAGGTGTCCTATACACACCAGCCCTAATGAGAATAGTTCTTATATTAGTGGTAACACTTACATGGCTTGAGCCTCCACCTGCCTAATGCGGACACACTGCTCCCTTCCACCTTCCCATTATTACTGGGAGGCAGGATATGGTGATCCCTGCTATGTGCTTCCTCTCTTGCCTGTTCTTCCACTTTGAGCTTCTTGTTGACCCCCTCCTGCCACGAGGCCACTGGGGGGCAGTGTCTCGTCTCAGTCAAAGTTGCTTTCTCCCTGGGCCCCAAAGGCCATCAACCGCACTGTTCCTAAGTTGTGGAACGAAGCCTCTTCTCTTCCACTTTGCCTCACATTTTTTCACTTGGGACCCCAAAGAGCATGACATGTATTCATTGTCTCACTTGAGCCCCTTCCCTCTCTACCTGCAGGTTCTCTCTCTGTAGAGGTCAGGCATGAGTCTATGGAGCAAGTACAGGGAACCAAAGTCACCCCACCCCCATCCCAAGGCTGTCCTTTCCCACTCTCCTTTCTCCACTCTAAGATACCACGAGACCATTTTCCGGCAGTCACCTTCGCTTCAGGCTAATCAGCACCTACAGCCAGGTCAACTGCTCCCTTAGATTTATCAGACCAAGTTGACTGTTTGTGGTGGGCACTACTGGGCTCAAGCTGATAGCCTGGCCATGCGTATTCTGTTAATGCCTATCTTACTGTGTGGCACTTGTCTGCAGACATGTCTGCTTCCCCCGTTAGACTGTGGCTTCCTTGAAAGTGAGCTCCTAACTGTGTGGTGCTCATTTTTGTATCTCCAGCATGCAGTCCCCTGCCTGTTACACAGCTGACCTTGGTAAATAGTTTTGAAAGAATAAATGAACACAGCCCAATTAGCGGAGATATGCCAAAAGAAACAGCCCATCTTTGCCAACACATGCAGAGGGAGAGAAGCTCTTCTTGAAGAGGACCCACTTTCTTCTAGAGCAGCCACTCACAGCTCTCTCGACTCCTTGGACCCTCAGGGTTGGAGAAGACCCAGGGTTAGGATAGCACTTTTGGGGGAGGTTTCATTGACCTTGTTTTGAAAGAATAACATGTTGAAGAGCCAGGTGACTAGTTACATTTTATTGTGTACCTGCCAGTTGAAAAAAACAAGGTCAAAAACACAAAAGGATAGAACATGGCAAAACATATTGATTAGACAGGGGAAAGCAGATGACACACAGGGACAGGACATTTTATTTTTATCATTCCAAATTCAGAGAAATATAATTAACTCCATGCTCGGTTCACCTAAGTTTTTGTAGCAGAGGTGAACGTGACAGATTGAGGCACAAATTTGTTAATGCTGAATATTGGGCATTTCTTCTGTTATTATTTACTGGACATAATCTGATGTCATGTGATAGACCATGATATGTAAATGACTTCAATCAGGAAAAAAGATAACTTATGTAACTTTATCTGGCTTTATTCTCTACACATACTGAGAAGCAAACCCATTAATCACAGTCTAGGCAGAAACTCTTCAAGTAGTGTGTGAGACAAACAGAGGTATTAATTATATTTATTATGGTAATAATATACTTAACACTTCCTTCAAGTCATGATAGTTGCAGAAATTGGGAAAAATAAGAATACTCTAGCAGACTTACAGATACTCAGTGGCAGTATCACAAATAATCATAATCACAATAATTTCAGAGATGAGGAAGCAGAGAGAGAGGGAGAGAGGTGTTAAACAATTTGTTAAACATCACACAGCTGGTAAGGAGTCTCTCTAATTCCAAAGCATGGCTTCTTTCCTCTACACAGCAGTGCCTCCCCAATTAGAGAATGTTATAGTGTAAAATCATCAGAGGAATAATGTGATTTCCAGTAATTTTTAAAACGATATTGTCTGGTCACTTGTTCTGGTTTCTCTGTTCTACATAACAGTAATGCACCCCATAAGGACGTTTTGGTCAATAATGGGCTGCATATATGGTGGTGGTCCTGTAAGATTATAATGGACCTGAAAAATCCCCATTGCCTAATAACATAGCTTTTGTCACATAGCACAGACTCGTGGGTGTGGTGATGCTGGTGTAAACAAACCTACCACACTGCCAGCCTTATGAAAGTATAGCACATGCATTATGTACAGTACATAATACTTTATAATGGTAATAAGTGTTCCTTATGTGTTTACTATACTTTTAATTGTTATTTTAGAGGGTACTGCTTCTACTTATATTTTTAAAACTTAACTGTGAAAGCACCTCAGGCAGGTCCTTTGGCAGGTATTCCAGAAGAAGCATTGTCATCATAGGAGATGACAGCTCCGTGTGTGTTATTGCTGCTGAAGACCTTCCAGTGGGACAAGATGTGGAAGTGGAAGACAGTGATATTGATGATCCTGACCTGTGCAGGTCTAGGCTAAGGTGTGTTTTGGTGACTTTGTTTTTAACAAAAATGTTCAAAAAGTAAAATAAATAAATAAAATACGAAAATGCTTATAGAATAAGGATATAAAGAAAGAAAATATTTTTGTACGACTACACAATGTTTGTGTTTTAAGTGAAGTGTTATTTCAAAAGAGTCAAAAAGTTTTTAAAAATTTAAAAGTTTATAAAGTAAAAAAGTTACAGTTCACTAAGTTTATCATTGAAGAAATATTTTTCTAAAATAATGAAGTACATCCTATGTGTACAATGTTTATAAGGTCTGCAGTGGTGTGCGGTATTGTTGTAGGCCTTCACGTTCACTCACCACTCACTCACTGACTCACCCAGAGCAACCTCTAGTCCTACAAGCTTCAGTCATTGTAAGTGCCATATGCAAGTGTACTATTTTAAGTCTTTTGTATTGTCTTTTTACTCTACCTTTTCTATGTTTAGATAAACAAATACCATTGTGTTATAATCACCCACAGTATTCAGTATAGTAGCATGCTGTACAGGTTTGTAGCCCAGGAGCAACAGGCTATACTCCATAGAGCCCAGATTTGCAGTAGGCTATAGTGTCTACATTTGTGTAGGCACACTCTATGATGGTCACACAACAATGAAACTGCCTAATGACGTGTTTTTCATAATGTATCCCTGTTGTAAGTTATGCATGACTATATACAGAAAAATTTAAGTGGAGAGAACCAAATGACTTACTAGGCAACAAAGCAGGTTGGACAGATGGACAGTAGGTGGAATGACCATGGTGCCTGAATTTTCTATTACTCAGTACCTTATCAATTAATATTTCCTACTCTACCTTCCAGATAACTCAGCCTACTTAAAGCCCACCAGAAAGTCAGCCAACAAATCTCCCAACTCACTCACCCACCATCAACCCATAAACTCGCCAGCGTGTATTGAAGGCCTACCTTGTTGTGCTTGACACAGTGTTTGGTGCCATGTGGAATGACAAAGCAGGACCAGACAGCGTCCCTGCCACCCTGGTGCTTGTAATCTAGTTGGAGAGATACGATAAAAATAAATGACACAATTACAGAATCTGACAGAATGTAATAAAGTGCTAAATTGTGTGGTACAGACAATTAGAGAACAAGACAGTATATAATAAAGTGCTAATTGTGTGGTACAGACAATAAGTATAATAGGAGTTCAGTGAAGGGATAGATGAGTGTGGGCTGCAGTCTTCAGGGAAGGCTTCTCATCATGTCAGTGCTGCCGTGTTTATCCAGTGCATGACGGGAAATGGAATATGAAATAGAAGATGGATTATGAACAGAATAATGGTGCTGAACTGTGGTATCTCTTCTCAGGCTGGATGAACACAGAAAGAGAGTCCTTTGAAAGGTAGCATTCTCCATTAAAAAAAATCAAATAGAGAAATACCTTATTTTCTTTATTAGTTGTGTTATAGATAATTTCTACAGAAACTTAAAATCATATTTTAAATTGAATAATGTTTTCAATGTACCAGGAAGCTCACTATTTAAAGGAGCCATGTTGTAAATCCTTTTCATAAATGAAAAATACTTTTGCATTATTGATGATCACTTGTTTATAAAAAATTCCTCAAAGCTAATAGTAAATAGGTACTCTCATACACTACTGGTGGGATTGATGAACCTTTTACAAGGTAACTTGGCAATGTGTACCTAAAATTTTGACAATGTGCATATTGTTCAACCAATCAGTTTCACTTCTGGGAATTTATCCTAAGGACGTAATAATCATAGCTGACTGCAAGAATAACTTTACTACAATGATAATTATCACAGCGTTAGGATAAACTGGGAACAATCTAAATGCCCCCAAGGAGAGGACTGATGAAATAAACACATATTAATAAAATGGAATGTATAGTCACTAAAGTGTTACTGTAAAAATAGGTAATGCTGTGGGAAGTGTTCACAATACATAGATAAGTGAAAAAAGCAAATTTGAAAACTTGAAGAGTATGATTCCATTTTGTTAAAATGTGTTTTATGCATAAAAACATGTTTTATTCACAGAAACACATTTGAGTGGTGAGGTGATACATGATTTCCACTTCTTTATGCTTTTTTGAAATTTCCAAATGTTTTCCAAGTTACATGGTTTATTTTGTAATAAGACATATATTAAAATTCTACAGTTCTCTGATTTAATTTGCTTTGAAAGTTGTGATTGTCATAAATTAGATTGCCATCTCTAGAGCCAAAGGTCTTGTGGGACAAGTAACTTCTGGGACCAGAGACAAACACGAGAAGTATTATTCCTTTTTCTTTTGAATTATAAATGATTTATATTAGCAAAATGTATACCTTCTTTCCTTAAACTCATATTCATGTGGGAGCTGTTTGGGAGGGACACATACTCTTTAAGGCTTATACAACGTGAATTTTTAGCAGCAGAGCCTGCCAGAGTGGGTGGAAAGCCCAGGGCATGGATTAATTTTTAAGACGTCTGGAATACTAAAAATAAAAATAAGAAAAATGTAGAAGTAAGTGTAGATGTGCTGAAACAGAGTTTCAAAAATTGTGATGATTTTAAATGTTTATCTTGAACAAACTGATGCCTTTAACACAGTATACAGGAACAGAAAGTAAAACTTCATGGTGACATTATGTCAAAGGCTGGAATTGGAGATCTTTGGTGCATGCAGGATCAAGGCCAAATTAGGCTCTGCCTGGAAACCATGCAGAGGATGTGGAATTATTGAAAAAAATCAGAAAATATGTAGAGAGGATTTTGGAATTTCTGGTCCAAGGGATTTTCCATGTCTAAAGTGAAAACAAAATAGTTTTCTTCTGTTCCAAGAACTTTATTTAGAACTGTTTTGAAAGGGGCCTTTCTCTGAAACATTTCAATACAAAACCACATTATTTTCTCATCCTATGACTCTGTGTCTTCCATTCCCTAGGTTTTGACTAATTTAAGGTTTTAAAATAGACGTTTCAACCCTTTCTAGTTAATAATTTTCTATTTTAACCTCATCATCTAGCCTTTCATCTATGACTTGGCCCGGTAAAACATAGCAAGTCAGAATTTTACTTCCTTCCTGTGCCCAAAAAATATAAAGAAAATCCTTGAATACCCAGGTTTTTGGGAAGTCCAACCTTAGCCAAAACTGGGAACTGTTTGCCTTTCTTTGGCGAACCCGTCCTGTAGAAAGAATGAGCTGGGCGGCATCCCTGAAGTACAAGTCAGGAGAACTTGTTCCTGGACATTCCCTTGTCTCCAACTAATTTGGATGAATTCACCACTCTGTGCTTCAGTTTTTTTCATGGCATAGTACAGTGCTCACGTGGAGGATGATGGCAGGTGTGAAGTAATTAAAATATTTCTGACAACATGGCAGACTAGCTGACATGGAGAAGCCTTCTCTCCCACTACTGTCACATAGAAAATCTAGATGATATGTGGCAGCAATTTAAAATATACAACCATGGTTTTTGTTGTTGTTGTTGTTGTTTGTTTGTTTTTTATTTGAGATGAGGTCTCACTGTGTCACTCAGGCTGGAGTGCAGTGGTGAAATCTCAGCTCACCACAACCTCCGCCTCCTGGGCTCAAGCAATCTTCCCACCTCAGCCTCCCAAATAGCTGGGGCCACAGGTGCATGCCACCGTGCCTGGCTAATTTTTTGTATTTTTGGTAGAGATTGGGTTTCATCATGTTGCCCAGGCTGGTCTCAAACTCCTGAGCTCAAGAGATCCACCCACCTTGCTTCCCAAATTGCAGGGATTACAGGCATGAGCCACCACACCCGTCCATTACAACCAGTATTGAAAAAAGTAAGGGAAATCTTCTATTTCTCAATGTGAAAAGAAAACTCAGAGCCAGAGTAATAACTGTGGCTGATGTTGCTAGAAAGGCACATAGGTCCCAGGATCCGGAGTCTTGGGTGTGGAGGCCCATCTGGAGATAGGACATGGGGCCTCAGGCGAAGTTTAGGCAGGACACCATGACTAGAATTGTCAGATTTAGCAAATTAAAATACAAGGTGGCTGGTTAAATTAGAATTTCAAATAAATGATGAATCATTTTTTAGGGTAAGTATGTCCTACAAGTTGAAAGGAACATATTTATGGTTAAAAAAAAAAAAAAGTTGTTTATCTGGAATTCAAATTTAACTGGACTTCCTGTATTTTATGTGGTAATTCTGTGACACAGGCTTGTCAATAATACCTGGAGCCTAGGAGAAGGGGTGCCTCATCCGTTAGGAAGGGACTATGGAAAATACTGACAATTGTTATGAAGAGGAGGAAGGAAATTTGTAGTTGGTCTATGGCTGTGGGTGGGAAAAATGTGTTTCCCAGGCATTTACCATGAGTAGATGTAGGATCTGGGAGATATAGAAATCTCATTCTAAGAAATTACCATGAAATCTGGTCCAGGACAATGGAATCCTTAGAATTTCACCGGAAACAAAGTGCCATGTTGGGCTGTTTCTACGATTTAGGTACACAGGTGTGTGGTCAGATAACCAGCCCTGCTAAAGATGAACTCTTAATACAAAACTAAGAACTGAATGAATTACCCTGAAGGGAAACCTGAAGATAAAATAAATGGGGAAATCAGCAATCCAAGAACTGGGTTAATTTAAAAACTCTGAATGAGGCTATGAAATAAGTATTGTCTTGGTGTGTTTGGGCTGCTATGACACAATACCATAGACTGGGTGGCTTACAAACAACAGACATTTATTTCTCACAGTTCTGGAGGCTGGAAGTCCAAGATCAAGTGGCCCACTGATTTGGTTTCTGATGAGGGCGCTCTTTCTGGTTCATAGAGGACAGTCTTCTTGCTATGTACTCTCATGACGAAAAGGGTGAGGGAGCTCTCTGGGCTCTTTTATAAAGACGTGAATCTACCAAATGCCATCATGTTGGGGATTAGGATTTCAACATATGAATTTTTTTTTGTGGTGGGGGAATATAAACATTTGGCCTAATGCAAGTATCTCTTAAATGTCAGAGACATAAAGGAAGGAATAAAACAGAAGAATATTTTGTCATTAAAAAAGACCAGGTTTATTTGTAAAAGAACCAGAAAGAAAGTGTAGAGATTAAGAATATATTTGTTGACATTAACAACTCAAAGGGACATGTTAAATAGCAGATTAGACTTCTGAAGAGAGCAAGTGAACTGGAAGAAAGAACTAAGGCAATCACCCAAACAGAAGCACAGAGAAATAACGGGATAGAAAAATATGACATAAAGAGGAGAAATTGAAGTAAGAGGAGGTCATGTGCATTCATGTATTCACACATTTATTGTTTTGTCTTACCCAACTGGTGACTGGAGTCACCCCAAAAGCAGTACCGGGGAGTTCTCACAAGTGAGTGCCCCAAACCATCCTGAGATGGGGCTGGTTGGGATTCCAAAGAAAGGAGCACTAAATGCCAGGGTGACCAGTCCAAAGCATTTATTGGGAATTTGTGTACAGAGTGGGCTACAGCAATCCTTCCCATGGACAGCGAGAGGAAAGGGGTGTTCTACCTAGGTGTGTCAGCAGTAAGGGGGTCAGGGTGTGGAGTTTATATGAAGGTTTAAGGAATTTGGCTCAGGTTCAGGGCCAGTTTCTCTCTAGTAAGCCTAGATACCTGTATCAGTACCTGGGGATGTTCAAGGCCCTGGTTAGGGTTCAAATTCGCTGGGAAAAAAACTGCAGCTGGCCAGGTCACATAGCAGTCAAGGCACTCTGTGGTTTTGGTTAAGACCCAGAAATAAAAGTGAAGGTGGGGGTTGGGAGTGTGTACCAGGGGACCGTACACATCTATATTGAGGAAGGCATAAGGAAAGAAGAGAGCAGAGCAAACAGGCATACAACTGTTAAGACATAGTAGACATTGTTTTTTCTTAAAAAGGACAGACCCCAACATACAGAGGCTTAAAAGAGATAGAAATTTATTTCTTTCCCAAGTGACAGTCCAGATGTCAAGAGCTGGTAGAGTGGCTCTGTTATTCTCCATTTGTGGCTTCTATTTTAGGATCCCATATGGCTACTTTAGCTCTGTCTCTCATGTCTGTATCGCAGGCAGGCGCAGGGGCAGGAGAGTTTGCAAGGAAGGCAGAAGGGGCATACATGCCCATCTTTTAAAGATACTATCCAGAAAACACACATCATTCAAGAATGAGGCAAAAATAAAGGCATTTTTTTTTTCTGATAAATAATTCAAAAATAGACCCTGGCTGAAAGAATTATTAAAAGATATACTTCAGTAAGAGATGGAAATTGAATACAGAGAGGTGTTGGATGCAAGAAATAATGGTAATCTCTTCTCTGTATAATATTCTTGAACACAAATGCACTTAAAAATTAGTCTCAAAATACGTAAAGCAAAATGTGATAGGATTATGATGATGTGAAGCATCACAGAAAGCACTTTTGATTACATAGCAGAAGATTTGGGTTGTGGACTCCACTTGATATTTTATTATGCAGAGCTTTAGGTTAGACTAGATCCTTCTATAATTTATACTAACTTTAAAGCAAAAAACTCAAGCACAACTCATTAGTTTTATGACCTTATGGTATACTCTTTTTGCATCAGAATATGGGCTTGAGATTTTGACAGTCCAGGTACAAATCTTTGCCCTGTCATTGACTGACTTTGTCATCTTGAGCAATTTAACCTTTCAAAACATAAGTTTCCACATCTGAGAGATAGGAAATATAACTGTATTAATCAAAGTTCTTGGCTCCAAACAACAGATGCTGATTCTTGTTGAATCAGTAGAAAAGCGTTTTATTTCAAAATATTGTGTGGATCACAGGACTGTTGAGTGAACTAGAAAACTGGGCTTCAGAATAAGCCTTGAGGAACAATATCCCAAACTAAACAACAAATTTAATGGAAAAATGCTGCTGTTCCACAGTTATTGCTTTTGTGTCCAAAATACCCTATTGTAATCCCTGGGAAAGAGCCACCACAAAAAAACCAGATACCTCTGCCTCCCCTTCACCAGCAAATTTGCAAAGATACAAGGTCCCTTTTCTGCAGAGCCTTTTTCTTCTTATTGCTTCCTTCTGAATCAAAAACATTTTTTAAAATAAATTAGTGTCATTTTATTTTTTATTTATTTTATTTTTTATTTTTATTTTTGAGTCTCACTCTGTTGCCAGTGCTGGAGTGCAGTGGCACAATCTCAGCTCACTGCAACCTCTACCTCCCAGGTTCAAGCAATTCTCTTGCCTCAGCCTAGTAGCTGGGATTACAGGCGCCTGCCACTATCCCTGGTTAACTTTTGCATTTTTAGTGGAAACAGGGTTTCACCATGTTGGCCAGGCTGGCCTCAAACACCTGACCTCAAGTCTTCTGCCTGCCTCGGCCTCCCAAAGTGCTGGGATTACAGGCATGAGCCACTGCAGCTGGCCTTGAATCAAAATCTTATAATGATATGGTGTCCTTGATTCACACCAACTAATTCATGTGCCTGAATCCTAGCTGCAAGGGCAGCTGGAAATTTGCACTGTGACTCCTATATAGCAACTCATAATTTGGATATGTCTTCAAATATAGAGAAAAGACTCAAAAGATGATAGGCTCCCATGGGTAGAATAGATGCTCACTATAATGGTAATAATAAAATCTGCTCTTCTGAATTTAAACTTCCTCCTGTGTTTGGAGAATGTACCATGTTGTGTCTTGTTAGATGAAGGATTTTCATTTCACAGCAGAAGCCCAAAAAAGACAAGGTGCTGGTTCACTTGAAATCTTGCCAGTTAGTGCATGTACATGAGACCTAAGCTCGGTTAAGCAGACGTTCTTGTCTTGAATTTTATGACTGTAAGAATGATGCAAAGAAGTAGAGATAATTTGACCATCATTCTAGTGGCAGCATTATCGATGGCTATAACAGTCAGCATCTAATGTCCAGAAGCAATAATGACAGCAGGGTCCAGATTCCAGTAGCTCTTCTTACCATATGAGTGTCTTTTTCCTTGTCTAAAAATGGGTATGCCTTGCTTTGGAGGGTGTGTATAAAGATTAAATGAGGATTGCATATAAGAAAGGCCTCTGAGAAACGTCAAGCACCTTACACACACAGGCATTATTCTCTTCCCCTATCACAAGCACCAGCCTTGAAAACCTAGCATAATGTTTAGAGTTCCGGAAGAAAAGGAACAATTCATTTAAGCTATAAAAAGAACAAATAAAACATGCATGAGGAAACAATATGACCATAATGTATTGAAAAGTTATAAATGCAATATTACTTTAGCTCATTGGGATAGAAGACAACCAAGAATGCATTTTTATTCCATCCTGATCACCTATTTGACAAACTAGTTGTTCCACCATTATATTATCCTCAATATGCAATCAAGATATTTGAATTTCTGCTATAATATGACTTTTGAATATATTCATTTGAGACTACAGATAAGGCTGATTCAAAATTCTCTGGCATATTACAGTTATTCTTAGTTTAAAAAACAAACCAAAAAAACCCCCAAAATCCTCAAGACACTTCATTGCCAGATCTCCATGTGGTAGGAATGTGCAGTTGATACACTAAGATTTTTTGGCTTTTGGTTTTTTCTCCCTCCTCATGGTGTATCTCTTCAGTGTTTCCCATCTAGTACTTATGTGTCTGTGTGGTCAAACTTTCATTTTTGTGGCATTTGTAGTGGAGAGTGGTGGCTGGAGGAATCTTGAGTCCTGTGGACCTCAGTCAGAGGTGTGCTCATAAGCAAGCTCCTGGAGACAGAGAAGAAAAGACACCCTGATTTGTAGCATTTGTCAATTACCATGAGGTAAACACTTGTACCAGGGCCGATTTCAAGGAGTTGGGAAGAGATGTGCACAGTCTGTTCTTGCTAGGTGGGGACAGCAGCTCCAGCATCGCACCACAGGCAGTTTGCATCTTTAATGTTTGAGCCTAACATAAGAAAGTTCCTCATAGGCTCTAAGTCACACTGTGTGGGTTTACATAGTGCCTCCCAAAAGCAGGTTCCTAAGCAAATTCCTAGTCAATTTTGTCTCATGAAAGCCTCCAATCCTGTTGTCCCCCCTCATTTCTTAAGAACCTGCTAATTTTAATGAAAAGGAGGCAGAGACATCCCTTTCAGCCCTCCAGTGGAGAAGATGGAAAGACCTCTGTTCAGGGTGGGAACCCTTTCTGTGAATTCCTGTGTGTAGGGGCCTTTCTAACAACACAGGATAAATTCTTACATTCATATTGTGCTTCACAGTTTTCTTTGTTTCAGTCTCCATTTTATTTTATTTTATTTTATTTTTTGAGATGGAGTTTCGCTCCTGTTGCCCATGCTGGAGTGCAATGGCGCAATCTTGGCTCACTGCAACCTCTGCCTCCCGGGTTCAAGTGATTCTCCTGCCTCAGCCTCCCTAGTAGCTGGGATTACAGGCATGCGCCACCATGCCTGGCTAATTTTGTATTTTTAGTAGAGACAGGTTTTCTCTATATTGGTCAGGCTGGTCTTGAACTCCTGACCTCAGGTGATCCACCCAGCTCAGCCTCCCAAAGTGCTGGGATTACAGGCATGAGCCACTGCACCAGGCTGAGTCTCCATTTTAAAGAGGAGAAAGTGCGCTCATCAAATGGAAGAACTGAGACTTGACCATTCGGATTCCAAATCTGGTGGCTTCCCTGCTGCTCCACGCTGCCTTTCCAAGGTGGCTGGAGCCTTCCCTGACTCCCCTGTTGCAATTCAACTCAGACAGGATGTTTTCTTTTCACTGCCAGTAAACTTTTTATTTCATCATCCTTTCTTACTTTCACAAGGGGAAGTTCCCTTGGCCTTCAGTGAACTTGCTATTTTCAGTGTCTCCTTGGATCACTTTCTTGCCAAAACCCTTCTCTGTTTGCAGATTGACTGTGACTAGCCACTGGGAGATCTCTTCTGGGAGCTGTGACATGTCCCATATCCCAGCAATGCTGGAGGGATGCACTGCTGGAGAGCTGCCTGAGGAAACTCTAAGAGTCCACTCTATAGATGACACTTACTGGGCCAAGACACTGCTGTCCCAGCAAGGATATTTATCCACTCTGTTAACAGGGCTAATAATGAATTTTTATGATACCAATGATTATCGTACTGTACAGTCTCTGAGTTAGCTCAAAACCTTTCCTCATTTGGCTTTAGAAGCAGCTACAGAAATAGCCATTACTCAACAGTTTCATACAAGGAGAGGAAAATACTGACTTCATGAGAAGCTTGAAAAGCTTAAATAGCATTTAATTAATGCTTTCATACATTAACTAAATATTTATTGTGCATCTGCCATGTTCACAGGTCTGTTGTAAGACTTGAAGACTCTAAAGGTTAAATGGGCTGGGCATGGTGGCTCATGGTCCCAGCACTGTGGGAGGCCGAGGCGGGCAGATCATCTGAGGTCAGGAGTTTGAGACCAGCCTGACCAACATGGTGAAACCCCATCTCTACTAAAAATATAAAAATTAGCCAGGCATGATGGTGTGCGCCTGTAGTCTCTGCTACTCAGCAGGCTGAGACAGGAGAATTGCTTGAACCTAGGAGGCAGAGATTGCAGTGAGCCGACATCACACAACTACACTCCAGCCTGGGCAACAGAGTGAGACCCTATCTCCAAAAAAAAAAAAAAAAAAAAAGGTAAAATGACTGCCTTTGTACTCCTTATACTTTGGCATAGTGGCAAAGGAGACGTATACACTAACCTTTGTAATTGAATGTGCTACATATTACAGTAGAGACAAGTACAAGCATGGAGAAGGAGGTGCATAACCCTGCCCAGAGGAATGAACAAACCTTCAGGTTTCTGTGAAACTGGTGCTAGGACTTGAAGGACAATAATGACACAACTTATATAATGCTCACTATGTGCCAGAACTGCCCTATTCTATGCATTTTCCAAATATTAAGCTATTTAATTTTTCCAAAGCCCACAAGGTTGGTGTAATCTTCATCCCTAGAGGAAGCTGATTAACAGGGAAGTTAAATAACTTTGCCCGATGTCATTCAGTCTGGGAATATGGAGCTGGGATTTGAATTCAACTACTAATCTCTGCACTCTACAGCTGTGACTCGCTGGGATTACAGGGCTGGGTGAAATGGGAGGTGTGGAGGACATGCTCAGGGCACTGTGCAGAGATCTGAGAAAATACGGCATGTTTGTGACTTTTGTTCTGAATTTTAGTGGGAAGGCAACATAGAGGGACTGATGATAAATACATGCTTCATTTTTCTTTCATCATAGGAATTTTTCTAGAGAATATTTGGAAAGTGATTTATCAACACAATTTCTTGAAATTGGAGCATTTTCAAATGGCTGCTGTCCAGCTGGTCATTCTGTTGAGTTGTTGGCTGAGGGTTATTTTAAATACATCCCCAGAAGAAAGACAACACATTTATTGATTTCCCATGATTCCCAGAATTGACTTATTCTAATACTACCTGAGTCCAAAAGTGAAAGATTGAGTGCCACAGAAAACACCATTTCCAGAATAATTTTTTTTTGGTATAACCATAACCTATATTCCTCATCATGGTCAAAGTTTTTGCTAATGTTGACTATTGGTCACCAAGTGGGACAGCAGGCATGACTCCATGTAGCACCTTGCTAATGCCTCAGTGTATGTGAGAAGTACCTGAATGTATGTGTCTTGTTTTTCTTTTTTGAGATGGAGTCTCGCCCTGTTGCCCAGGCTGGAGTGCAGTGGCGCGCGATCTTTGCTCACTGCAACCTCCACTTTCCAGGTTCAAGCGATTCTCCGGCCTCAACTTTCTGAGTAGCTGGAATTATAGATGTGCACCACCACGCCCAGATAATTTTTGTATTTTTTAGTAGAGACGGGGTTTTGCCACATTGGCCAGGCTGGTCTCGAACTCTTGACCTCAGGTAGTCTGCCTGCCTTGGCCTCCCAAAGTGTTGGGATTACAGGTGTGAGCCACTGTGCCTGGCCTGAATATATGTGTCTTGATAGCAAAAATAAGGTGTGGCAGAATTTGGTCTGGAACAGCACCTAAGTAGAGAATAATCTGGTCAATTTCTTGTATAATTTTCTGCTCTTGAGGGACCAGAGGGTAAGACATTCATTCATTCATTCATTCGTTCATTCAGCATTTTCTAAGTGCCTACTATAATAAAATCTAGTAGTAACAGTTAACATTTAATAGAAACCCACAATGTGACAGGCACTGTGCTAAGCACCTTAAAATGAACACAATTACTCCTCACCAACCCCCTCAAGTAAGAATGATCCCCAGATAAGAAAACAGGGGGATTAGGAAACTTGCTCCATATCACATAACTGGCAGAACTTAGTTTCCATCCCAGTTTTAGCTAAGAACCTGTGCTCTCAACCACTGTGCCATGTCATTTCCCTATGTCCAAGTTTCTGAAGTAGGCCTGGTTAGGACTGCAAATAACAAACTGTTATTACAAACTGTAGTTAAGTCAGAATGGAACAGACATAGAGAACTGGTTCTTAGGCGTTTGCCCACTGAAATGTGTACTAGCTGATAAGCTTGGATGAGATGCATTCGCTGGGACAACACCGGCACTGTCATTGCTCCACCCTTTGCCCTCCACTTTTTGCCCTAGGAAAGCATACTGGAATGCATGTAATACATATGAGTAAGAGTGACAATATTACAGGAATGACATTGAATCAGTACTCATTTATGAAAGTGGTGTATCCTTTGCATATTTTTGTGTAAGATGATAGTGGGTTTAAGTCTTAAGACACAAAGGAAGGCATTCAAGAAATATAACTTTTTTTGTTTTTATAAATCAACTTCATTTTGGCTCTGGACACCCAGCCTTTTGAGCTGGCAGGAAATTTAGTCTCTGCCATTCTGGGCTGATCTCCCTCATGCCCTGTGAACTTGTGCCAAGATCTGAGTCTTATGCAGGGCCAACATATTGTATTGGACAATTATCTACATTGGTTCCACTGAGACTGCTGTGGTCTTTCACTTTCCCTTTGGCTCTTGGAACCCTGAAACCTATAAAACTGGGAGCCCTGGGCCCAGAATCTAGGTGCCCAGCTTCCCAAGGCTGCACATGGCCTTTCTTCCAAGGCACCTTAGATCTCTCTTCCCCCTAACCTAAGGCCTTTTTTTTCTTCTAGAAGGAAATCCCTTGCTCACCTTCCATCTGAGGCACTTTCCGGTCAGCATGCCCTATTTTCCTCAATGGGTTTTGCTCTTTGAAAAAAAGAAAGCCATGAGGTAAAAAGTATCTTTTTTTGTTCTCTTTCTTGCTACCAACCTTTTGCAAGACAAGTAAGTGAAAATCTGCTTGAATTAGGAGAGGAAAACAGTACAAAAATAATAATAACTGGTCTTTAGAGTAGAGTTTACCTGGAAACAGATGTCCTTCTTTTCTTATTAGCCTTCTCTCCCTCTCCTTCTTTACAAAATGTAAATAATTTTTTCTTAATTATAAAAGTTGCCATTGAACGAGTTAACAGTAAACATAACTGCAGTTTGGTATTCAGTTTTTCAGACGTTTCCCCCTCTGCGTATATATTTAACAATATTCAAGAAACATTTGTAGAATGTTTACTGTGCCTTGTAAGCTTCAATAAGGAGGCTGATTGTATCTGAGGTATCAGCCCATTGGAGAGTTTGCAGACCGATAACCTGATCATCTTTACATGTTTGAAAGATCACAATGGCAGTCCCATGAAGAATGGATTGTAAGGACGGGAGGCTCTTACAGTGTCCAGAGAAAACATGCTGGTGCCGGGGGTAGGGTGAGAGTCATGACGGTGCAGAGATAAGCAGGGATTCTGGATCTGGTTGGGAGGGCAAGCAGGCAGGACTGGCTGGAAACTGGATATGGAGGTAATGGGCAGTGAGGAACTGAAGATGATTTCCAGGTTTGGGGCTTGAGCAACTTTGTGGATCTGGGTGCCATCTACAAGAACGGGGGAAAGGCTAGCGGGAGGGCAATATCTTTTACTCTTAAAATGCTTCCCTAGAAGGGCACTTCTTAATTTCCAGGACCTCCCGGAGTCTAGAGTAGTGAATCTAGGGGGTGAATCCTGACCATGGGAGGCACAGGTGATCCAGTGGGCTGCAGGAAAAACAAAACTTCTATTTAATCTTGTTTTTCTCATCCTTTATAATTTATATTTCTGTATATGCCTTACAATATGCCTATTAGTACACAGTTTTATATATATACACACATACATATGTACACCATTTATGAATAAATAAGAATGACTGAATAAAGGAATGAATAAACTGAGAATGTGGCAGACAAATAGCTGTTCACCAAAATCTGTTCTTCATTTCAGAATATACAGTTTCAGCTGGCAAGCTGCTGCCCAGCCCAAGGCAACTTTTTCCAGATTCCTTGCATGTGGGTATGACCAGTTCTCTAGTTATTCCCAATGGGAGGTGAGTGGAAGTGATAAATGTCAGTTTTGGACCAAGGCTTTTGAGAAGCAGGCATGCTTCTTTTGTACTGTGTCCCCTTCTGCTGGCTTACATGCAGAAAATGAACAGGCCCTGGGAATGTCGGAGGCCTGAGATAGAAGGAGACTTCATCCCTGAAACATTGCTGGGAGGGCGCTGCCAACTTACCAGGAGCGTTCACTTAATGCAATTTTATGAGCAAGAGATAAACTTCTGGGTATTTTAGTCATTATACACATTTGGGTCTCTTCGTTACAATAGCCTAGCATATAGGGAGCATGCTTAACATTTTTCTGTTGACTTGGGGTATGTGCAAAATATATGGAGGCCACTGGTCTAATCACTTGCCAAATGCAAATGAAATAGGATTGTCTTGTTTTGTCAGATCCAGGGGACAGAAGCTCATCATTTCAAAGCCATCCTCTCATGTAATCAAAAGCTATAAGGATCATAGATGGTGTTTAAGACAGCTGAGTTTTATATTTGCAAAACTGAAAAATAGTGAAATTTTTAGGAAGATTCACAAATTTAGATTACCATTAATTAGTAAAAATGACAAGCCTTAGTGGTAACCCAAGGGTTGTCTTAGAAAATGTGGAAATATTTGATGAATGTTATTGAAGAACAGTGAAATCCAGCAATTGTTTGGCACAGAGTTTGCTCAAATTTGCAACTACTTTAATGTCCCCAGACTTTAGCTTAAATTGTCTTTTTTCAAGGCTCAAGGTCTTTTAAGACCCGAGTGTTTTCCAGTTACCTTTGCAAATGAATTAAGAGTTCACTGCATTCCTCTGACCCTCTTCCCTGGGGTTTAGATGGTGAAACTCAAAAAGCCTTCCTTCATGCATTCAGCTTAGAGAAGGAATAGAATGATACATCAAGGCAATATCTCTGAAAGCTGAGATCAACAGACTATGATTAAAGTCAGCTTGCAGTTATATTGGCTGAGACTGTCACGCCAGCTGCTCGTAAACCCCACAAGATGATGGATGTCTTACTGTTATCCTTACTGCTCTCCAGAATTTATTAGCAGAAAAGAAAAATAGGGAAAGGTTATAACTCTCAGAAGTCCAAAATTCTCTTTGCAACAGTGAAGAGTGAAGGCTTGGATGTCAGTTATAAATGAATCACTGGGCATTTGTGGGGCGCAGGGAGGAGTGTCAGAACCTCAGCACTCTAATCAAGAGCGGCAGGAGCACCTGCACAGAGGGTCAAGTGAGTGTTAAGAGGGCTTGTTTTGCAGGTGCATTCATCATTCTATCCTGAGAAATTTAGCTAGTTGCTGTTGAGAAAAAACTCTTCGTTAACATTAGGGAAATGAAATTCCATGGCCCTCACTCACTGTAGGGGAATTAAGGGTTATAGGGAAGGGAAATCCTGCTTGGGTTCAGGAGTGAGGTGCGGGAGTTCTAGCATCATGGAACTGGTGAAGGACTATGTTGCTGGGGATCTGGGAGCAGCTGCTTTGGGAGGCAGAAAGATAGATTTGGATCCCTCATCTTGGGTCTTGATGCTAATTTCCTTCCTTTCTCCTGCCCTCTCCTTTCTCCTAGTGAGCTAAGAATAAAAACTCTGGAACCTGCTGTTTTATTTTTTTCACTCAAGAAACTGATTAATGAAGGCTGCTGGGTTTAATAAATGGCTGTCTATTTCAGCTTAGAAAACACTATTTTGGGGAGTGGAAAAATATTGGCAATCATTCACCTTGTGGAGAGCTGCATTAGTTTGCAAGTTGTTAAAGGAATAGACTTTGATATTAAAGAAGCTTTGATTAGGATACGTGTTCCTCCACCTGGCATAGGATATTTAATAGCCGTGTGACCTTGAGTGGTTACTTCACATTGTATGAGCCTTAGTCCTCTAGCCCAGGAAATGGTGATTAATGGTACATGCCTCTGAAGTTTGCTGTGGAAATTGAGGAAGAGACTTGTAATAGTAAATGTTGGATAAATGTGAACACTCTACATGACCTATTTATTTTCTACTTTCATATTTTCAAAAGGAAGATAGAGAACGTATTTGCTTATGGGTACATTGGTTTTGAGCTCTTGCTCATGGTTAAATTTCCTGCTGAGTATTTTCTGGACTCCAACTCATTATTGAGTCTGGACAGTTAACATCACCCCTATTCATTTCTGTCTGGAGCACTCCCCTCTCTTTCTTGCCTTAGGAAGTTAAAAATGAACTGATGTGGCTAGAAAGATTCCAAAGGGGGAAAAATGAACTGATATTGCAGGGAAGTTTGCTTTAATTTCCTGAAGAGAAGCTGTGGAATAATACTTTGAATACTTATTATTTGTTGAACCTGGTCAATGTTAGCAATCCCATGCAGATTGTCTAAAGGTGCCATCTTTGTCTTAGGACTATGTAATCAAAATGAGCAAGGTAATCCCAGATGCACAAGTCAGCTTTGTGTTCATAGATGAGGTGCACTAATAGCCTAGATATTGTATTCGATTGCATGAGTACCTCATTCAAGCACTGTCCCACTTTAGCCTCTTGCAGCCTGACTACTGTCTGTATCTGGAAAATGGAAAAACCAGCCAGAGTTTAATCCAGAAAACAAACTACTCTAGGTATTTTAGATAGAAGGGAGAATTATCTGGAGATTAGGTTCTCAGGAAATTGTTGGAAGGGTTAAAAGGAGTAGGCTCTAGACTGGCTAGAGCTAAGAATGGCTCCTGGAATATGACAGAACTGAATTACAAGGGAAATGACTAACCAAACCCCAATTAGGGAGGGCAAAGGCTGAAACCATTGACTTTAAGGACACAAAGACATAGCTGTAATCAAGAGATCAGAAAAACAGCATCTGATCTGTTTGGGGGACCAAACCATGTGGACAGTGGAATCTGGAGTCTGGTGATCTTCATAGCCCAACTACCCCTCAACACTCACAAAGGCAGAGACTAAGTACTGATACACAAAAATCTTCCCTGCCAGCAGAAAACAGCAAACAGCGGAAAGACAGCTTCTGCCCACTTCCACCTTTTACATTTCTGATGAGTGCATCTAATTGACAGAACCTAAGTCATATCCAGTCTCCTAACTAGATTCCAGAAAATGTAGTGCGTGTTTGTTTATTTATTTATTTATTTTACTTCCAGCCTCTGCAACATTGGAAAGCACCCTGGAAATGTAACCGTAGGACCAGCTCAAACTGATTAACCATTGCTTAAGTTGTTACAGGTGACAAAGAGCCAAAATTGCCCGGGTTTGCACAATAGGAAGGGCTTTGACCTTCTAATTTAATACCACCAGCCTGGCAGACGAGCTGCATTGGCATCACCTGGGACTAGTTAGAAAGGCCGTAAAAGCTGGAGCTACTCCCAGATTGGAGAGATAGTTATGAGTGTTGCCTCCTATCTCCTTGCCAGTTGACTTGAAATAAAGTGTTTTCTTTTCTCCAAAGCTGGTGCCTTAGTATTGTTTTCTATCTGCATTGGGCAGTGAGCCCATTGCTTGGTAACAATAGGTGAGAATGGATGTTGAGCCACAGTCAACCAATTCCTGCACACTGTCCTGCCTGAGTTCCATTATTGTGTGTTCATCTGTCTCTAATTCAACCACATGAATTCAGCAGAACCAAACCAGTTCACTAAGGTAGACAGAGAAAGAGAGATTTAAATATGGGAGCAATTTTGTTGAACATTTAACTCAAGGAATGAGCATCAGATCTGAAGTGAGTATGAGACGGAAGACATGAACTTCTTGTTTCCTCAGGTGATGTCAGTACTGAGGTACCTCTCACAATATGAGTCTATATACTCTGAATAAGTGAATAGAGTGATTAAAAAGCCATATTTAGGGTCTCCACTCCTGAGGTGGGTAATGAGAGAGGAGAAAGGAAGAAACCAGACAGGCAGGCAGTTAGGGTGGGTCCTTGGTTGAATTATTTCAAACAAAAGAACAGTCTGCAGGCATAGATAAGGGAACTTGCACAGGGGAACTTGCCTAAGACATGCTCCCAGCCACACAGATAAGAAAGGCTACACAGGTGACTTGTCCAGACATGCCCACAATGGAAAATTACATCCCCTAACACATGTACAGTAAGGGGAACAAAGCAATATGGAGTAACTCAAGCTAAGGGCCTGCATATGCACTAGGAGGACAGGGTGGAGCTACCAGAAATTCACACTTTATGCAAATGAGATGCTCAGTCCTCCTCAGTTTCTTATTAAAGCCGTTGCATTCAACTGTAAAAATGGCATCCCTCTTCCTGGTCTTCTCTCTGTAGCAGAGAGCTTTCTTCTTTCACTTACTAAACCTTTGCTCCAACCTCAAAGAATAAAAAGAGAAACAGCCATATCTTAGTCAAAATCTGGCCCCTAACAGAAGGCCAAATCCCTTTGTGTTTATAACATAAAATGATAAATACAAATAATACTCTAGGGAAGTAATTTTTTTAAAAAACCTGTTTATAAATTTTTGCCTTCCTGGCTGAAATTTGAGGCCCTTCCTCCTCACTCTCCCATAAGACCTAGCTTTATTGTATTTCACTGAGAATTCAGTGATAATCAACTCAAATGAGCAGTCATGTGAAAGGATGTTGCCAACTGTAAAGTCCTACATATATCAGGTGTTATTATCACACCTAGTGCTTTACATGTAATGAGTACTTTCAACATTTTGTCAAATTTTCTTTATTATTTTCACCCTCTCTTCAGGCAATATATACATATGTATTTTTTATATATATATATGCATACACATATACATATATATATTTTTTTTTCTGAACTATTTGACAAGTTTTAGAAATCATGTCCCTTTGTCCTTGAATACTTCTGTATAAGGCTGGGCGCGGTGGCTCACGCCTGTAATCCCAGCACTTTGGGAGGCCGAGGCAGGCGGATTACGAGGTCAGGAGATTGAGACTATTCTGGCTAACACGGTGAAACCCCGTCTTTACTAAAAATACAAAAAATTAGCTGAGCGTGGTGGCGGGCGCCTGTAGTCCCAGCTACTCGGGAGGCTGAGGCAGGAGAATGGTGTAAACCCGGGAGGCGGAGCTTGCAGTGACCTGAGATCGTGCCACTGCACTCCAGCCTGGGCGACAGAGCGAGACTCCGTTTCAAAAAAAAAACTTCTGTATAAATTTTCTAAGAAGACTATTCACTCAGAATATTGACCATTGATATACCACTATTTAATCTACAGACCTTATTCACATTTTGCTAATTTTCTCCATAAGTTTTTTTTTTTTATACCAATGCTTTTTTTCCATCCAGGATTCAATCCAGAATTATGCATATCGTTGGGTTTTCTGCACTTTCTTTGATTTTCAGGACCTTGACGTTTTTGAAGAAATCAGGCCAATTCTTTTTTATAGAGTCACTGAAATTGGGTTTTGTCTGATGTTTCCTCATAATTACATAATTAGAGTCAGGTTATGTGATTTTGGCAGGAATAGTAAATAAATAGTTAACATTTCTTGAGCTAAGTAAGCAACTCAAGGTGGATTCACTAAGCAGTAGTTTGAAGGTCACTGGACAGAATCAGTCAATGTGGAAGCTGAAAGACTAGACCAAGTTCTGCCATTAACCAGGCGATACTGAGTAACAATAATAAAAAGGATGGTGATGATCGTCATAATAATAATGACTTTATTTAACAGCATGAAAAGTGCTTTCATATGCATTATCTTATATAATCTTTCAATTGTCTCATGAGGTAGAAATGATTCTTTCTTTATGGATGAGGAAATTGAGGCTGGGGGAGATCGAGTGGCTTGCACAAGATCACATAGGTGGAAAGTGGCAGAGCCAGAGGCCAAATCTAGGTCTCGAAATCAGACTCTGAAGCTTTTCTTTCTAAACCAACATGCTGGAACAGAAGTCACAGCACGTTCTTGGGAATTCATTTCTAAAAGGAGAGGAGTGAATAAAACAAACATGTAACGCAGCCCTTCTCAGTATTTTGGACTTCACGAAGCAATAAAAATAATTTTTAAAATTGGAAAACAGACACAGGACTTATAATACTTTATATTTCCAAGTAAGGATATTAAAATACAAAAATAAAATTTTTATCTAGCATCAGGACTGTTTCATAAAAGAAAGGATATTTTAATATAAAAAATAGGAAAGTAATAATCTCTAAAAAAGAACATTCTTTGAAATGGGATGTATTAGTTTTGTAACATACTTGGTACCTTGTCATTAATTTTCCCACTTCACTGGGGCCTCGTGAAAGATCTGACCTGAGCAGCCCTGATCTGTGGCCTGGCATTGGGGGAACACTGTTTTATGGTGTCTTCCTGCTCTAGTGTCCAGTGGCTTTATTCTAAATGACAAAAGTATGTGAGCAGGGAGAGGAGCGGAGACCGGGTTTCACCATGTTGGCTAGGCTGGTCTTGAACTCCTGACCTCAGGTAAATACAACATAATGATTTGGGTAGAGTAGGAATGGAATAGCACCTGTTCGTGGCTGAGAGCCTAGGGTAGAAAGTTCCAGGAAGCAGCTGCTGTCAGTTAAGTTAGGCACCCATTCTGGCACAGTGTTTTGTTTTGTTTTGTCTTTAATTTTTTTTTGGTGACTATTTCTATTTATTTATTTATTTGTTTATTTATTTGAGACAGAGTCTGGCTCTGTGGCCCAAGCTGGAGTGCAGTGGTGCGATCTCAGCTCACTGCAACCTCTGCCTCCTGGGTTCAAGTGATTCTTCTGCCTCAGCCTCCCCAGTAGCTGGGACTACAGGCGCATGCCACCATGCCCAGTTGATTTTTGTACTTTTAGTAGAGATAGGGTTTCACTGTGTTGGCCAGGCTAGTCTCAAACTCCTGACCTCAAGTGATCCACCTGCCTTGGCCTCCCAGACTGCTGGGACTATAGGTGTGAGCGACTGCACCCAGCTGGGTGATTTCTATTAATGCGTTAAATAACCAGGTCTTGAAGTGGTTCTAATTACTCCCATAATTTCAAAGTAATAATAATTATAAACAATATTTTGCAATATTAACTGTATTGTGATGCTAAAATACCTGTGATTATTATAGGTAACAAAGTCGCAGGTACTATTACCACTACTGAAGTGTGAAGCCTACAGTCATAATTGAAGGAAAGGCACATTTTCAGTTAGAGGTCAGTGAAATCAAGATGTGATTTTTTTCCCATCTGAGTTCATAGATTCCCTGACTTCTTTTTGTTTTTTTTTTGAGATAGTCTCGCTCTGTCACCAGGCTGGAGTTCAGTGGCGTGATCTCGGCTCACTGCAACCTCCGACTCCCTGGTTCAAGCGATTCTCCTGCCTCAGCCTCCTGAGTAGCTGGGATTGCAGGCATGCACCACCACATCTAGCTAATTTTTGTATTTTTAGTAGAGATAAAGTTTCACCATGTTGGCCAGGATGGTCTCGAACTCCTGGCCTTGTGATCTGCCCACCTCGGCCTCCTAAAGTGTTGGGATTACAGGCATGAGCCACCATGCCCGGCCAATTCCCTGACTTCTATCCCTCGGTCCCTTGGAGGGGAATGGAGGGTGGTGTGTAGGAGGAATCTGAGGACCCCAGATCAAAACCCCTATTTTAAAAAATGTATTTTTATAAATAAAGGGTACAAGTGCAGCTTTGTTACAAGGTATATTGCATAGTGGTAAAATCTGGCCTTTTAGTGTACCCATCCCCTGAATAGTTTACATTGTACACAATATGTAATTTTTTACTTCTCACCCTCCTCCCAGCCTTCTCATCTTTTGGAGTCTCCATGTCTGTTATTCCACTCTGTGTGTCCACATGTACCCCTGTTTAAGTCTATATTCCCTACCTACTTTTTAATCTTCCATTCGTGTCTCCATTTTATGATCCCTCAAATATCTAACTGTGTATAAGGGTAAGCAATCTTTGTAGTATGGTTTTTACCCTCATGACCCAAGGTGACTATTCTCACGAAAGTCACCCATGTTCCCCCAGGTTCGAAGGACCTTTTCCCATCTCTACATTACTCCATCTCTCTGCAGCCTCAGACACCAAACCATTCCCTCCTTGGAACTTTCTCCTTCCTGGGCTTCTGCAATATCCTTCTCCACGCCATGACACAGTGGTTTTAAGCCCTCATAATGGTGGGAGTTTTTTCAAAACACAGTGCTGGGGCTCTGTTCTCTGAGTATTCTGGAGGGAAGGTTTGGGGTGGGGCCCAGGCATCTGTTCAATGCTACCTAAGGAGTTCCAGTTTGTACCAATTAAGAATCACTGCCTTTGTTATTTATGAGTGCTGGATGTATGTTTTCCACTGATAACTATAATAAGAATCATCATAGCCATAGACTTAGGTATGTTTTTCTCTCCTGCCGGGGTTTTTTTTTTTTTTTTTTGAGATAAAGTCTCACTTTGTTGCTCAGGCTGGAGTGCTGTGGTGCCATCTCAGCTCACTGCAACCTCTGTCTCCCAGGTTCAAGCAATTCTCCTGCCTCAGCCTCCCGAGTAGCTGGGATTACAGATGTCTGCCACCACGCTCGGCTAATTTTTATATTTTTAGTAGAGACCAGGTTTCACCATGTTGGCCAGGCTGGTCTCGAACTCCTGACCTCAGGTAATCTGCCCACCTCAGCCTCCCAGAGTACTGGGATTACAGGTGTGAGCCACCGTGCCTGGCCTCTCCCACTGAGTTTTAAAGCACAGCTCTCATTTAATCTTTTCTTGGCTTTATTTCCGACCCTAAAAATAAAAATAAAACAAAAATTCCACTTCCTTCAATAAGGAGATGTATATATTAATGAGGAAATGTCTGCAAAATGCTTGCAATATCTGGAATCAAATGTATTTTGTAAGAATAAAAACAATAATTTTCTTTCTTTCTTTCTTTCTTTCTTTCTCTCTCTCTCTCTCTCTCTCTCTCTCTCTTTCTTTCTTTCTTTCTTTCTTTCTTTCTTTCTTTTTAAATGAGGCAGAGTCTCACTCTGTCACTCAGGCTGGAGTGCAGTGGTGTGATCACAGTTCACTGTAGCCTTGACCTCCCAGGCTTAAGCGATCCTCCTACCTCAGCCTCCTAGGACTATAGGTGCGTGCAACCACATCTGGCTACTTTTCGTGCTTTTTGTACAAAAATTTTTGCAATGTTGCCCAGGCTGGTCCTGAACTCCTGGACTGAAGCAGTCCACCGTCCTTGGCCTCCCAAAGTGCTGGGACTACAGGCCTGAGCCACTGTGCCCTGCCAATAATAACTTCTCTATTTTGGAAGCAAACAGGGAGAAGGCAGAGGTAGATTATACATTCTAGGGGTGGTTTGTAAACTGCTGATTTATGGCCAGTGATAAGCAATGTTAGTCTATGTATGAGGATGTGAGACAAGCAGAAAGTGAATGCTTGCAGGTGTGAGTTTATAGTTAGGGGATATAGATAGCAGAGCATTGTCATAGAATCTTAAAGAAACATTGACTCAAAGCTGCAAGGAATCTTAGAGTTTTCCATCTTCATTCTTTATCCCCGTGATCGCATCCAGTTAGGGTCACATTATGACTTTCTTGGACCCCTGGCACTTCTGCTTTTGCTCCATAGGCCGAGATGAGCGGATCACAAGGTCAGGAGATCGAGACCATCCTGGCTAACACAGTGAAACCCGGTCTCTACCACCTGTAATTCCAGCTACTTGGGAGGCTGAGGGCAGGAGAATTGCTTGAACCCGGGAGGCGGAGCTTGCAGTGTACTGAGATTGCGCCACTGCACTCCAACATGGTCTACAGAGTGAGACTCTGTCTCAAAAAAAAAAAAAAAAAGTATCTAAAATTATATTTTATGACAGCATTGGCATAAAATCACCTGTAATCCAGGCTGGCTTTATGATTACTTATTCATTATTATATTTGTGTTTCCTTTGGTTTAAAAAAATTAAAAGTAAAACATTTTTATGGGCCCCTAGAAGCATCATGGGCCCCAGACACTTGCCTCCTATGTCTAATGGAGGAGTCAGCCCTGCCTGAGAGAGGGAATGCACTATCTTATGAAACAGCCCATATATTTCCATTTAAAAACCATTTGAATTGATAGAAAATTTGTAATATGCATACACACTTCTGTCATGTTTTTCTAGTTCTTTTCCCTAGAGACAGTCTCTTCCCTCTGTCCCATGTCCTATGTACTAGATCCTGGCTATTCAAAGTGTGGGCCATGGACCAGAAATATTGATATCACTTGGAGGCTGGTTAGACATGCAGAATCTCAGGTCTCATCCTGTACCTACAGAATCAGAATCTGCATTTTAACAAACTCCCTACGTAATTCATATTCACACAAAATTTGGAGAAGCACTGTATTGGAGAGAATAATAATAGCAAACGTTTATTGAACACTACTCTACTGGACATCATTTTAAGTGCTTTTTGTGGATTGTCTAATTAATCCTTTCAATAACTTTATTTTTCCTGTCTTACAGATGAGTAAACTGAAACACAGAGAAGCCAAGTGACTGTCTTTATCCAGTGAAGAAGTGGTGTGCAGGAATTCAGACCAGATGGTGTGACTCCAGGATCTATGCTCTTTATCTCCATGCCAGTCTGCCCATTCTCCTGTGCCCTTCTCATTTGAGAAGTTGCTGCTTGCTGCCCAGCTTACAGTTCAGGTTGCCAGGGTGGGAGCAATATTTTTCATAGCGCTTAGTCCAACCCTCTTGTTACAGCTGATTGATGACAGGTAGATAGATCCCTGATCAATGATAGTCTATGGCTATTCTGCAATCTGTCACTCAGGTGGACTCTCACTCCGTGGTATTTAAATGAAGCAACTTGGAAATAATTTGCTAGTTGTTAAGGAACAGGAAAAAGTGGATGGGTGGCCTGTAGATGAGTCATATTTAAAGTGACTTATCTATAATAAAGGTATTAGTGCTTCTGCTACTTGAGTGTCTACAGCACCTTCAATTCAGATCCAGTCTCCCACTCATTTCTCTGGGATTCCCAAGCCTATTATGGCTCCATCTTTTGAATTTCCCTGGGAGTCCTTTCATTGTGCCACAAGAAGCCCTGCAACAATCTTGCTTTGCTTGAGCTAGCTCAAGTGGGTTTCTATTTGTTATCCTAAAAGCCAAACTACAAGAACACACATTCACACATTTAGAAGCACTTGTGCATCTCCCTGAGCTACCCCTTCTCCGAGGGAAGCACCCCAGGTTCTTTCCATCAATCCTCATGCCATGTGTTCACTCCTTCTCTTGCTCCTTTCCCTCTGGACCGTGCAGTTGTAGCATTTGCAAATGGACTGATACAGAGGCTGGAATTGGAAGCCACTTTTATGGAACCATTTTATGGGTAAAGAGTGAGCCTGCCAGCCTCAAACTTTCTTTCCTAGCACCTGGCAAGACTCTTCCCTGGAGCCTTAAAATTGATTCTGCTTACATGAGGGCACACTGTAACTGGAGTTATGACTAACAGCTGAACGCATGCCCCCTCCCAATCGCCCTCCACCCGCAAATCGGTAAGAATAGGCCCCTTAAAAAAAAACTTTGGAAATTGGGGCGGGGAGTTTTTCCCAAGCCTGTCCTAGCTTGAAGGCATTTCAAAGAAGAAACCCTGGTGGACTGTGTCTCCCCAACTCTGGGGAAGAAACTGCAAACTGGCAGGCAACCAGCTTGCAGCAGCGGAGAGGAACTCCGGCCCATTCCCCCTTGTGGTTGTCGTGTTCAGGTCAGTACTAACTTTAGCCCTGCAGTCCTCAAATGGGGACAGTCCACTAGTGGATTAAATCCTCCTTAAATGACTTAGAAGCTTTTAGTCAGAGATCAGAGGAAAGCAAATTATTTCATTTATTTTCTGCTGATACACGATGACTTCCGGGGAAGCCATTCTCCAGTGTTTTGCAGAATAATAACACTTTCTATTCATATATCATTGATCTCCCAGGAGCTCAAAGTTCTTCACAAGCATCTTATCAGCTAATTTCACCTGGGGTGCTTGGGAAGGAGGGAGGAGGCAAGGACAATGTTTGCTTTCTGTTTTTTGTTTTTTTTTTTAACTTTGAAGTGCAGGGGTACTTGTGCAGGTTTGTTACATAGGTAAACTTGTGTCATGGGGGTGTGTTGTAGATTATTTCATCACCCAGGTATTAAGCCTAGTACCCATTAGTTATTTTTCCTGATCCTGTCCTTCCTCCCACCCTCCACCCTCTGGTAGGCCCCAGTGTATGTTGTTTCCCTCTATGTTTCCATGCGTTCTCATCATTTAGCTTCCACTTACAGGTGAGAACATGAACCCAAAGGAATATAAGTCATTCTATTATAAAGACACATGCACACAAATGTTCATTGTAGTGCCATTCACAATAGCAAAGACACAGAATCAACCTCAATGTTCATCAACAACAGACTAAATAAAGAAAATATGGTACATATATACTATGGAATATATGCAGCCATAAAAAGAATGAGATCAGGTTCTTTGCAGGGACTTGGATGGAGCTGGAGGCCATTATCTTTAGCAAAATAACACAGGAACAGAAAACCAAATACTGCATGTTCTCACTTCTAAGTGGTTGCTTTATTTTCTTCCTTGTGGTCATTCTTTTAGCTGAGACCTCTGTCCCTCAGAAAGAGAGGTGGGGGTAAGCAATGCTGAAGACTTTTTCATTATATAAATTGGCTTCCGGTGTTGTCCCTCTACCGGCTTCTGCTAGGTGTCCAACTACCCACCATTACCCTCTTTTTGTAATTTACTTGCTTCGTTTCAATGTGGGGTAAATATCCTCATGTTGGGTTGGAGAAACTGGGGGCTCAGAGAAGCTGTGCAGGATGATTGAGTTCTCATGCCAGGCTATGGGTGAGTCTGAAGCCACTGTTATCACATGTTCAGCTACTGACATGTCCCTCCAAATTCTTCCTGCCTGCAGTGCGCAGGGAGTGGTTATAGAGCTGAGGTTGGCCATAACTCTCTGAATCTGAAAAGATGTGTCCAGAAGCACATTTGAGGATAAAAGAGGGACGCACACTTGAGCCTGAAGGCCTGACCCCAAATTGGCTGGCCAGCTCTCTGAAGCGGCTCTTTTCAGACCCACATCCTGTGCAGTGCTCTGCAGATCAGGCTGCCTCTCTGGGACTTGAATGTTTCAAAAAGGATCTAAAGGGCCTTTCAAATGGTGCCGGGACATAAATAGCTTTCACAGAGGAATGTTGCCTCAGTGATGCGATGACTGAATCAGCACCACATTGAATTTGCAGCAATCTGGTGCTCTGGGTAATGGAGTGATGGTAAATGAACATTATTACGTTTTTACCCCATGAATGAATCCTTAATAAAAAAGACAAATGGCTTCCAGGTGTCTTCCCACAAAATTTCAACAACTGAGTCACTCAAGCTGGAGGGAAGAACAAAAGGCAGTATAGAATCTCCTCGTGATTCAGTGGCCGCCAACTTGGATTGTCCCCAGTTCCAACTTTAGCATCTTTCTTTAGTCATCCTACTGCACAGTCAGTTCCCCTTGTGTAAATGCACAACAGGAGGAAATTCTAATGAAAGGACAAAGCTGCCACTGTCCCATCTGACCAAGCGTCCCCAGAGAGAACAGGCTCCCCATACAAGGAAATACTGTTCCTGAGAGGAACCACCTGTGGCTCGTCTGTGGCCGGGTCTTGAATTACTGGCCATTCCGGAGCAGGACCGATTGATGTGCCGACTCCTGTGGTTGCTAGGATGTAAGGTAATCCCTCAGGAATGTTCTGTCAGCTGGCTCAGCCCAGCCTCTGCTGTCCTGTCAGGAGGTGGGATGGTTTGAAAGTCTTGTCTCTCTCATAAACTAACACTGTGACATGAGGAGGCTTGGGATCTCTCCGGCTCTTAGTTTTCTCAACTGTGGGATTCATGGCCAAGAAAGGAGTTGGGAAAGAATCTGGTGACAAACACAAATGCCTCTGGGGGTCAGATAGGTGATAGGAGTGAATGGATTGTCTGGTGTCAGACAATAGGAATGTTGGCGCCTATGAGGAACTGGAGAATAAATGCCTTGCCTGAAGATGTTCAAATTCAAATAAAACAAAAACAACCAGAACCCAATATTGTAGGCCAAATAAAATGCCAAGGGGCTAAGTTAATCTGATGACTAGAGTTTCCAATCTGTTCTGGAAGGTTGCTTCTAGTTTTAATGATCCAGCCTTTATCTGGAAGTATATATTCTTACATATCAGAATTCCTAATTCAATATGTATACGGTATATCTTTTTGAATGTGAGAAAGTATATGTACCTAATTCTGGGAATAAAATTCACAGGAAGTTCAGACCAATCTCGGCTTTTATAGGCTAAATCATAGCAAAAATCATTGATCTTAAGTTGTTGGTTAGAAAAAAATATTAAATGTATGTGATAGGATGTGACTCAGAGCTCATTTAAGCTCCTCTGAGCCACGGCTCTGGGAAGACAGGGTAAATGAACCCCTTTTTAATCACACACTCCTGTTCAGAGCCTAATTATTTTTCATCTGATTTGTACGTAGGCACGTGTGCAGGGACTGTGTCTGCCTTATTAAACACTGTACGTGACCCTGCTACCTGACACCTAATAGGGCCTCAATACATGTATGATAAATAAATGAATGAGTTAATGAAAATAGTAGTATGCCTAGGTTTTAGTCTTTTCTCTTTTAAACTATCAAATAAGCTATTGATTGCATAATTTATTTTAAAAGCGTAGATGCAATCTTGCCAATTCTTGGCTCAAAGCCTTCTAAACATGCCACATTGCCTACACAACAAATCTCAAACTTCTTGGCATGATCTTTATTTCCATGCTCTGATTTCTTCTTTCTGTTTCATTCTATCTTCAAATGATGTTGCTTCCCCCGCCCCCATATCATACCCCAGCTTAACTGCTTGTTCCCCAAACAAGTTCTTTTCATTTTCACGACATTCCCTGTGTAATGCCCAGCTCTCCTTTTTCTCCATCAAAATGTTATCCATCCTTCAAGATGCAAATGTCTTCTCTCCAGGAAACTTTGCTTTATTTAAAAGCCAAATCAGAAATAATTTCTTTCTTCTCTGCTGTTTCTGCGTATCTCATATAAAGTGAGTAATACATTCTGCCTTAAGTTGTAGCTATTTATATACCCACATCCTCTAGAATCTAGAGTCTAGATAGTATCTACTCTAGTATCTAGAGTCTAGATAGTAAACTTCTTAAAAGCATAGACTATAAATTGTTCTTCTGTGCCTACTTCATAAACATGAAGGTATTCAATGCATTTATGTTGAATGATAAAACTGAAAAGTCTACATTTGTTGGTTGTTTTTAATTGATGGAGAAATTTTGGTGGCTATCAGTTTGCAGTTAGAGGAACCCTCAACAAACAAGTTTACTGAGAGAACAAGATAATCCAAGAATCCAGGGAAAAAGTGTCACCTTTTGTGACAGAACTGTATAAAAATATATAGAAAAATGTCAGAAGCAATTCAACCTAAGACATAGGGTATGGTTTGCCAATGGGTTTAAGCATCTTCCTGTTGATTATAAGAAAGAAAAATCATCTGTAAAGTCAAGGATCTGAACTATTGTTGATGTAAAGATGGGTAGTACTACAAAGATAAGTTCCAAAAAAGGATATTGGTCTGCACAGAACCTGGAAATAAAAAATTTGGACATGGGAACTATCACCATATCTTTATTGTTGTTCAGAAAAGAGGGTAGGCCATTTTCACTGTCCAGTTCCAGTTTTGTAGAGTAAAAAGAAGAAATTTATTAGGCTTCCATAGCCCAAAAGAAAGAGCCGTTAAACATATCTCATACTATGTGTTCTAATTCTGCATTCACTAAGTAATGTGCTTGGTCCTGTTGAGAAGTTTTATGTATAGTATCTTACTTAACTTTCATAACAACCTTCTGAGGTAGGTATTAAAAGCCCCATTTTTAGATGAAGAA